TGGAGGATGACTTAATACAGAAGTAAGCATACCCTTCACCGACACAAATGTAAGAGTAGTGATAAGCACTGCCCGCCGAGGGGCAACGGCTAGAGAGCTCGGCATAGCAAAAGGCAGAGAGAGCTGCAGCAATCCCGGCTATCAGAAACGAAAATGTGAGAGCCGGTCCTGAGTGCTCTCTTGCCACTGTTCCGACAAGAATATAGACTCCGGCTCCAATTGTTGCTCCAACACCTAATATTGTGAGAAAACCCAAACACTTAGTATAAAAAGAAGCCAAGGAATAGTATAAAAACTTCAACTAAAAAAGCTGAGTAATATTATCCCAAAGAAATATAATAATAAAGAAACAATCTTTAAACCAGGAGCTTAAAACTTTTATCTGAAAGAGCGAACTGCAGCCTACAGGCGATGAACAAAAACACCTAAAAGCCCATAACTTCCAAACGCGAGATTTAAGTAACAATTGCGATGAGACAAGAAATCGGAGAGAAATCGTTCGAAACCAATGAAATATAAGATATTCTTTGTAGACAATCAAAAGATGAGCAAGAACCAAACAACGTTTTAAATCTCAAAAGAACCCAGAATTCTCAAAACCCATATCAGAATTTCGACCCAAAAAACGAAAAACCTCGGATCAATTTGAGACCAAGAAACAAGTTTGGAAGATAATAAATTCACCGATTGCAATCAAGTGAGGAACTGTCAAGGCCTTAGCCAATTGATGATGACCCTCAGCTTTGGCGCGAGCAGAGTCGACCTGTTTCCTCCTCACGAGGCTCCTGACGCAACCCCATGAATGGCCTCCTCCTTCCTTTTGCGTATCCACCAAAAAACCCATCAAACAAATCCCAGCAGAACACAAATTTCTTCGACCCGACTTTCAGAAATCTGTAAATACTCCTAATGAAACCTAATAACAAGCCCTTAATCTCAGAATTTCCAGAACAAGTTCTAAGTATATACAATTGTGAATGAAGAAGGTTCCTAATCTCCCCGTCTTCCCCTCCGATCGAATAATTCCGAGTTTTCTCCGAATTTTCGAATTTTTCTTTCACTTTTGATCAAATTAGAAACATATCGAACGAGAGAGGAGAGGCGGGTAGAGAAAATTTTCCCCTTCTTTCTTTTGGATGAAGGAGATGAGGAAGAAGGAAGTTGGTTTTGTATAGAAGCAGGGGAGACGAAGAAATTATTTATTTTTAAACAAAAAATGAAAATTACTGTCACCAGCCAGAGGAGATGGGCCACTGACATTTTCACATATTTCCGGAAATACCCCTGAAATTGTAGCTTATTGTCCCTTGCACCTTTTTGTACGCCATTTAATAGTTTTCAAAATTTTATTCTCCTCTGTTTCTAAATCGATTTAGCAATTATCACAATTTTAAAAAAATTATAAAATATACTCTAACTGAAAAAACATTTTTATGAATATTGTATTAAAATTAAATTTTTATAAATAAGATTAAATTTAAAATTTTATTAAAAAGATCACTTAAAATATCTACAATGCATCTATTTAATAACCAAAAAAATTAAAACGATATTTATTTAGAAATGGGGATAGTAATTATTTTAAAAATCATATATACTCTGGATTAATTTAGGAGAAAAAAACATTGTCCATGAATATTTTAGTGATTTGAAGTTATTATCCCTCAAATATTCGTTCTAAAAATAATTCGATTATACACTTTAATATGGATCAATTAAAATTAGTTAAGATAATATGTGACTTATTTCATATCCAAGTTGTAGTGGTTCTTAGAGTAACTTGACGGGATCATAACAACATGATAATGCAATGAGATTTGGTTATGTGTTTGGCTGGGATAATGTCTGCTTGAATTGTGTTAACTGTTACGCATAAATGATCGCCTGTTTCCGCCGAATTGAACCGGAATCTAGCGGCCATTCCACGTGTCATGATCTCCATGGATGAACTGCGATGACTGTCGTTGGAAGTAGATTCTTGTGGGTCCCACTTTCCACGGTTCAA